GAAAGACCATTGAGTTCCACTTTGCTCTAAACCATTCAGGCTAATGTAGTGGAAGATGACATCATTAGAATGGTTATGTCAACTCTCCATAGGTCCCATCAGAGGTACTGACTCTGAACTTATTTGAAAAAATCCTTCCTTTTTCCAAATGCCTACCAAAATCCTATTTCAGAATACTATTATCTAACCTTGATTTCATATTCCAGATGGTTAAAATATGTGTATTACATTTATAGTGACAACCTAAGTCTTAACAATTTTCCAAATATTAATTTTATCATTATACATCATCTAGGCTCTCTAGTGTGTTTGTTCCTTCCTACAGCATTCTTCAGTCACACTTGAACTTGGTACCATAAGTCTTTTCCAAGGACTTTCATATTTACTCATTCTTTGTGAGTTGATATAAATGGGAATAAATTCACTAAAGGATAAAAAAGCAACACTGTGCAGAATTATCTTAAATTATACTTTTTATTTTGTATGTTCTAGTAGTAATAATTTGCCATTTGTTATTGGCCAAATATCCCAATTTGAAAATACTGACTATGTTGTAGTTTATCTCTATTTATATTTATCTATTAATTTATTTAACTGACCAGAAGTTCAACATAAGAAAAGTATTTTTATTATCACAACAGCAATTAAATCCATTCTATTAGGGATATATTTATCACAGTAACTAATGTCCTTTAAAAATAAACATATTATAGTGTGTCCATTTTTCCTTTCATTAAATTTTAAATGTACTTTGATTAAATTGCTATATAAATGTTCATAGCTCATATGCTAACATTCACCCACTCATCTACCTACCTGTCTATCTATTTACTCAATAAATATTCATGAATACTTATGTTCCAGGCACCATTCAAACCAGTAGGGATAGAGAGATCTTACTCTCAAGAGTCTTAATCTAATTGAAGAACCAGAAACCCAGTAAATAATGGAATCACAGTCCCATGTAGTAAGGCTTAGAGCTATGCTGTGGTATTTTGGGACTCCCAAGGGAGCCTGTTACCTAAGCAATTGGAAGGGAGCCATGTGGGCTTGAGAAGCCCTGGTGGGACAGGGATAAAGTGCGTGGTTGCCAACCCCAGGGCCAGAATTTCTAACCCACTCGCCTCTCTCTAAGAAGGAAAGCATGATGTGGCAGTCTGCATCCACGGAGATCGAAAGCCATGGCAAACCTGAGGGACCCTTCTCCTCTTTCCTATGGGGTCTTTCAAAATGGACTCCAAGGGCGCTGGGTGGGAGGCTTCCTTTAGGAAGCAGAGGTTTTCCAGGATAAGACAGGGAGTGGGGTGGAGCAAAAGTGAAACAGACAGCAGGAGCACGAACCAACCCTGAGGCCAAGAACAGTGTATTATGTTGGAGGAACTACAGTTGGGCTCTACTGTGTCTTGAGATTGAGTACAATATCTGAAGTGAAAAGCCAACCAGACAGCCTTAGCAGCATATGGACACAGCAGAGGTTAGGGTCAGTGAACTTATTGACAGACCATTAGAAAGTACCTAATGTTTACAGAAGATTCTGAGAAAGAATAATCAGAGAAATAGGCAATGAATTATCATTTTTATTTATTTCAGGTTTTATTTAACACAAAAAAAAATCTCAAATGGGTCATCCATTCATTTTCTCCGCTGCACACAGCCTGGCATTGGGATTGGGACTCTCCTGGCCAGTTGGGCTGCTCTTTCTCTGATGGCTTTGCCATCCTCGGGGGCAGTGTTGGGAGCGATCTCTGCACCATAGGACTTGTCGCACATCAGCAGCATGGCCAGCTCCTGGCCGTCATGGACCAGGAACCTGAGGGTGTCACTGGGCAGCACGGGCTTGGTTTCCTTGTTGCACCTGGCACCAGTGCTGGCCATCAAGATCTGACCCTGGAACCTTCTCCGCATCCTGTTGTCCTGTTGTCAATGCCTTTGGGCTTGTGCCAGTTGCACTTAATCTTGACATAGAGGTCTGATAAAGGTCTTGGTCCTCTTTTTGTCAATTTTGGCTTTCACCAGGGGGTCGTAGGGCAGCCATGATGCCGGTGAGAGACGGCTGCCTCCTGCATAGGCAACGCCGAAGAAGAGAGGGGAGAGGCGAATTATACTTTTTGATGCTTTGCTTTTCCCCGTACAAAGTGTTCACCTACATCTTGAAACGATTTCCATGCTTCAAGGCCCCTCTTCAATTTCCTGTATAAAACTGTAGACCAGAGGATGTACATTGTACAGATAGCAACTGGAAACGCAGGGAATCCAGGATAGATGACTCCTTCAGGACCAGTGGTGAGAGGGGCGAGGCCTGGAGGGTGAAGGAAATGTGGGGTAGAAGGGGGGAACCGATTACAAGAATGTAAGTATAGCCTCCTCCCTGGGGGAGGGACAGTAGAGAAGAGGGTGTAGGAAGACGTCGGACAGTGTAACTTATGACAAAACTATAATAATTTATGAATTATGAAGGGTTCATGAAGGAGGGGAAGTGGGGAGGGAGGGGGAAATGAGCAACTGATATTAAGGGCTAAAGTAGAAGGCAAATATTTTGAGAATGATGAGGGCAACAAATGTACACATGTGCTTGACACAATGGATGTAGGTATGGACTGTGATAAGAATCGTATGAGCCCCCAATAAAATAATTTTTAAAAAACTGTCTCTTGGTCAGACTTTTGAAGAGAGTTGCCTGTAGCACTTCCAGGTCTCCAGGTTTTATACCCTCCAAACCAATGGGACAAAAGTGATGGAAACACCAGTTCCTGTGAAGTGCCAGCAGTTTAGTGGACACATTCTACGAGAAGCTTGTTAAGACTAAAACAAACCACAAGAGCTGGGTGGCTATTAAAGATATGATGAAATGACTCTCGTGTCTTCTTGGTGGCAATGTAAATTAATGGATGCATTGTTTTGACGAGTCTTTACATGCTTCCCTGAATTATCCAGCAGTCCAGCTCTGGAGACATTGTTCCAAAGAAGTCACTCTGAATGCACAGAGTAGGACGGGCTATCATCTCCACAGGGACGGGCCAGCCCTTTCTCTCAGAGACACGGGGTGGGGCAAACAGCTCAACGTTCAGTGAGCAGCTGAGCGCTTAACAATGGTGCCAGCAGGGCTCCTTGATCCACTGCCTAGAGCATAGCCGAACACGGCCACGTTTTTCTCCTTGGAGATTTTAGGAAGAATAAAGTAGTCCTCTTAGCAGCCACTACCCAACTGTCAGCGTGTCAGACTGGAGTGACTTGAATATGGCTATGGGGCTGGAAGGTATGTCACAGGCCTTTCCAGTACCAGTAAGATTATTCAGATTATTCAGCAAAGTTTCTAGAGTAGGGCAAACCAGAAACAAAGGCCTAGACGTTTACTTCCAACGAATAGAGAATGAAAATGTTCAATATTATGACATTATTGATGTCAGGATTGATCTTTACTTGCATCTATAATCCATATTCATAGAATCAGTAGTAAAGAAATCAAACAACATTTTGCATGGGAAAATCTGCTACAAAAAACCTCTTTAATGTGTTAAAAAGCAAAGTTGTCACTTTGAGGATGAAGGTGCCCCTAACCCAATGGCCTCATATGCGTATGCAAAACTGCACAATGAATAAAGAAGATTGAAAAAGGATCGATGCCTCTGAACAGTGTTGGTGAAGAATATTGCCTATCACATGGGCTGCCCGAAGAATGAGCCCATCGGTCTCAGTCGAAAGCTCCTTAGAAGCGAAGATGGTGAGACTTCATCTCCCGGACTTTGGATGTGTTAGCCCGAGAGACCAGTCCCAGAAGAAGGACATCATGCTTGGTAAAGTAGAAGGTCAGGGAAAAAGGAAGATAAACTGACGTATGGCTACAGCAGGGGGTTAAAACGTAGGAATGATCCTGAGGAGCGACACAGGACCAGTGTGCTTATAGGCTGCTATAATAGAAATAAAGACCTGACCATCTATTCTGAAGATTAGCCAAGGAAACATCTATGGACCACAGCACAGTGCTGTCCAGTATAGTGCTGGAAGATGAATATCCTCGGTCGGAACAACTGTAGCAATGGACACAAACACTCCAATGATTATGAAGATGGTGCCGAACCAGGCAAAGTTTCATATATATATATTTTATATTTTAAGTAGGGTTACCGGGAGTTGAAGCCAACTTGATGGCAGCTACCAACACCATGTAGACAGTTTATTTTACTTATTTTTTATTAAATGCTCCATTTTTATTTCTGCCACCAAACATCTTAGACTCTTGGCCCTCTCAAGGGTTGGGTACTAGTTGCTGCTCCCCACCCACCCCAAAGAGGGCTTCCATTGGCTTCTGACTGGCCACAGGACACTGGGAAAGAGGGAGTAGGGTGCTGCTGGCAACCGTATCCTGCTCCTGGAACAAACCATCCTAGAGAAGACCAGAACTGGAGAACCAGCGACTGACTGATGGGCAATGTGCCGGGAGATGAGGGGCTGGGTCCTCCCTCAGACCCTCTTCTGCTTTGAAGAGCCTTCTCCTGCGCCGCCCGAGGGGATGAGATAGGACAAGTATGTGGAAAGTGGCCATTGCCGGTAGAGATGGGCTTCGCATTCTCTGTTTGCAGGCAGTCCTGGCAGGGTCCCTCTCCTGGCTCCTCAGCTCCTCATTTGGGCACCCCTCCACCTAGAGCCTTTCCGCTCTGTGAGAGAGGGAAAATTAGCTCAGAGAGGGTCCTGGAAAGCCGAGCTAGAGGGTAAGCCTGCAGAACCACATTCTCAGCACCGGCCTCAGACAGCAGGGTGCCCAGGGCCCCAGTCACAGGGACCACTCAAATCCTGGTCCTGGGGGTCAACACTATGAGTCCACATGGAGGGGTGGGACAGACACAGGCTCCCAGAGAGCTTCAGCCCTGGACCCTGCCTCTTTCCCCATTCCTGCAAGACCTTCTCTCCATGGAGCCTTGGAGAATGTTACCTCCCTTCCCAACATCCTCCAGGGCTAGGGCATCTCATAACAGGCCTGCCTTCCCCTAAAACAGAAAAAAAAATATATGGAACGCTTCACGAATTCGCATGTCAGCCTTGATCAGGAGCCGTGCTAATCCTCTCTGTATTGTTCCACCTTTAGTATATGTGCTGCCGAAGTGAGCACAACATGGAGACAGTTTAAATATTAATGTCATGCCTTTCTAAGGTCTCTTTTATTTCTGTTACTGTGGGAGTTGGATGACTTTATGTCAGTTAGACACTCCTGGCTAGGGGTGGAATCAAACCAGTCAAGTGGGAGCTGGTAACACCTCCTTGGAGATGTGGCTTTTTGTATGAGAGAGGGACTCTGCTTTTGCCTCTTAGCCATCCTCCTTGCTGGAACTTCAGTGAGGCTCTGTGCCTAACTCCAGAAGTGGCACCATCAAGAAACACCCTCCACCACCCCCACTGCCACCCACTTAGAGCTTAGAGCCCTGCTATGCTTCCACGGACCTTGGATCCACGAGACTCTGCACATAATGGCCTGTGACACACACCCCCACCACCACTTCCTGCTTCACTTTCTGTGTCTTGGCCCTGAGTATGAAAAGTGCCCAGCTAGCATCAATCTATGGACTTGAATTTGACTGCTTCTTGATATAAAGTTCTTCCTTGTATATAGTTGAGTGTCACTGGTTTGTTTCTCTAGACAACCCAGCCGAACACTCACTCAAAACTCACAGCCATTGAGTCGATGCATATTTAAGATCATTTGGTACATAGAAGTCAAGATAGATAACCCCTCAGAAACAGTAGCAGGAGTAATGGTTCCCTGAGGGTATGGGAAGAGAGGGCAAAAGGGGAGGAAGGGGGCTGATAGCATTGATGATTGTTCAACTCCACTTGATGGGACTGAATATGATAATTGTTTGTGAATGAATATATTAGATTGTGTATGATATGGCACAAAAAAAAGAAGAAGAAGAGGAAGAAAAGTTCCTAGGGGAGATGGTGGGGGAGGGAGGGAACCAAAAGGAGCTGATATCCAAGAAAAAGAAATGTTTTGAAACTGATGTGGTAGCAATTGTACAATACTGATTGCACTATGGAATGATATGTCTGTAAGAGCTCCCAATAAAATGATTAGAGAAATAAAAAATATTCTTCCAAAAGCTCACTGCCATTGACTTGATTCCAACTCTTGCTTGCATCAGGCTTATTTCATGTAAAAATATAAAATCCTGACGAATTCCACTTGATGCTTTCAGAATTTTGTTAGGTGTTGCCAATGGGTTTGTTCAATGTTAAAAGTCGATTCCACATCTGCAGGGGAAAAATGTCAGTGCTTTAATAATGCATTTGATCTTTCCATATTAGTCATAGCCAATCCTGGGGGAAAAAAAAAAGTTCTTTTTATGAATAAATCTTTTTGATGCCAAGAGATAAATATGCAAATAAGCATAGTGATATACAAATAAGCATATATTTTTTGATGCCAAGATATGAATATACAAATAAGCACTGTTTCTCTTGTAAGTCAGTGCTCTGGGGCCGCAGGGGTACGCTGTGGGACTTAGAAGGTGGGTGTGGAGGTCAGCAGCTGACCGCCTTTCTCGGGGTTAAAGAAGCACATACGCAAGCGTACAGGCAGTCCTTACATTGTGCTTTCCTTACACTGATGTCATGAAGATACGAAATGAAACATCAACAAAAAAATAGGTTATTGTATTCTGGAGTGCACGTGCCTCAGGTTCTCCGGAACTTAAAGATGCAATTACGATCATTGCTTCTTCTATTTTGTGCCACTCACCTGTCATGGTGTTGTACTATGGTAACTGAAGCTGAAGTTGTGACTGAAGTCAAGTTGTCTAGAGATTAAAAAAAGCAAAACAAAGCACTCACTGCCATCAAGCCGATTCCAACTCATAGCATAGAGTAGAACTGACCCTATGGGTTTCTGAGACTGTAAATCTTTATGGGACTAGAAAGCATCATCTTTCTCTCACAGAGCTGCTGGTGGCTTTGAACTGCTGACCTTGTGATTAGCAGCCCAACACATAACCTGCTATGCCACATTTCAGCTGCATAAAATTAAGTCCATGAGAGCCAAAAGACGTCTGAATAAAATCCCATTAGAATTTAGAGACCATTTCTAGAGTAGATTAGATGCAATGACACACTAATGATCAAAGACAATTTTGTGGATGATATCAAGAACATCATAGATGAAGGAAACAAGAAGTCATTAAAAGGAAAGGGACAAAAAGACTAAAATCGATCTAAGAAGAGACTCTGCAACTTGCTCTTAAGTATGTAGTAACCAAAATGAAAGGAATGAATGAAGAGGCAAATAGCTGAACAGATTTCAAATGCTGGTTCAGGAGGACAAAGTAAAGCATTATAACGAATGTACAAAGTCTTGGAATTAGTAAACCAAAAGAGAAAAATTCTGTTGGCATTTCTTAAGCTAAACCATCTGAAGAAAGAATTCAAATCTTGAGTTACAATATTGAATAACAATCTGATGAAGGGAATTGCATAACACTTAATTATGCTCATATGAAACCTGTACATAGATCAAGGGCAGTTGCTCAAGCAGAACAAGGGAATGGTTTAAAATCAGGAAAGTTATGTTACACCTTTATCCTTTCACTGTACTTAGTCTGTCTGTTGAACAAATCTTCCAAGACTGGACTATATGAAAAAGAACACAGCATCAGGATTGAAGGAAGATTCATTAACAACCTGATCTCTTTTTAAAAAAATAGTTTTATTAGCACTTCACCCACATGCCATACAACTCAATCATTCAATCGTGGCAAGAAGAGTTGCACAGTGGTCACCATATTCAATTCTAGAACATTTCCTTCTTCCATGTAGTCACTGTTATTCATGTATTTTTCTAATTGTGACAAAAATATACACAACAGAACATTCTCCAATTCTACAAATTATACTCTATGGGTTATCCAACCATTACTGATATCCTTTTCCAAATTATTTTACCACCATTAACATAAACTCAATGCCCCTTATGCAAAAACTCTTTCTCTTTCACCTATGGTAAATGTGTTAGACTGGGTTGACTAGTGAAACAAATCCAGAGACACACATATGTGTGTGAGAGAGTTTTATATCAAAGAGAAATTGTATATTAAGAAAACATCCCAGCTCAATCCAGACCAAGTCCATAAGTCCAATATTAGCTGATATATCCAATACCAAGCTATACATTCCTCTTCAGACTCATGAAACACATGCAAGGGCACCAAATGCTGGAAGATCATAGGCCAGCGGGTGGAAAGTCTTGTGAATTCAGTGGCGGTAGAGGCACTGTTGTGCTGGCACGGGTCTCCAGGTGGCTCCTCCAGCTCCAGGGCTCTGGCTGCATCAGCGTAGCTCCATCAGGCTCATCGTCAGTAATGTCTCACAGGGAATGAGCGTGTGTCCCACCTCCAGCGATCTATTTATCTTCTTGGAACCTCCAAATGTGGTCATCAAGCTGCAACCTGATTGACAGGCTAAACTCCAACCCTTCACTGTTTTTGTTTTTGTTTTAAATCATTTTATTGGGGGCTCGTTCAACTCTTATCACAATCCATCCATACATACATCATTGTGTCAAGCACATTTGTACATTTGTTGCCATCATCATTCTCAAAACATTTGCTTTCTACTTGAGCCTTTTGTATCAGCTCCTCATTTTTCTCCTTCCCTCTCCACTTCCCCCACCCTCAGGAACCCTTGATAATTTATAAATTATTATTATTTTGTCATGTCTTACACTGTCCAATGTCTCCCCTCACCCACTTTTCTGTTGTCCATCCCCTAGGGACCACCCCTTCACTCTTAAGTCTCAAATTGACAACAGATTATGTAAACATTGATCTAGTTTGGTTTCTATCTTTTCTTGCGGTTTTTCTTGATATAGTATTCATATATCATGCACTTCCATTGTTAAATTGCTTTTAAAATGAGTTGAATATACAGAATTACTCAGTTCTAGTGCTTCCTCCCCCAAGATGTCTTTAAAGTGTTAAAGAACAAAGTTATTGCATTGAAGATTACGAGGAACCTCATCAAACTGTGGTATCAATGTGAAAGCTGGGCAATGAGTAAGGAAGACCAAAGAAGAATCGATGCATTTGAATGAAGTTGTTGTCGAAGAATATTAAAAATACCATGGACTACCAAACAAACAAACAAACAAATCTGTTTTGGAAGAAGTACAACCAGAATACTCCCTAAAGGCAAGGATGGTGAGATTTCATCTCATGTACTTTGGACATGCTATTCAGAAGAGACCAGTCTCTGGAGAAGGACATCATGCTTGGTAAAGTAGTAGGGCAGTGAAAAAGAAGAAGACCTTTGTCAAGATGGATCGACCCAGTGGCTGCACTGGTGAGCTCAAACATAAGGACAAGTGTGAGGCTGGCACAGGGCCAGGCAGTGTTTCCTTCTGTTGTACAGAGAGTTGCTACGAGTCAGAACTGACTCAAGGGCACCTAACAATAACAACAACAGTGGAGTTGGGTTGCTCTTTGTAAGTAAGAACGAGAAGACTTGGTCTCACATATTTCAGACACGTTATCAGGAGGGACAAGTCCCTAGAAAAGGGACCTAACAGCAACAGTAAGATAGTGTATTTCTATCTTTAAAATCGCCTCTTTTGACTTCTAATAATATTGGCGCTTGCTTGCTTTTATTATTAGCTTCATAAATGTTCATGAATGCCATATTTCTTTAGTGTATTGTTCCTTTTACTATAATACTGTCCATCCTTATCTTTGTTTTTCTTACTCTCTATTTGATCTGGTCTTTATATGCTACCAGCTTTTCTTTGTGTGGTACTTGCCTTATATAGCTCTTCTATGGTTGTTCTTTTATTTCTATGAACCTATGTTTTCTATGTGTCTCCTGAAAACAAGATAGAACTGGGCTTTCAAAAATATAATCTAGTCTGCAATGAGAGGGAGTGCTCTTATTGTGGAACTATGCCAGGTGTATTTAAGCCATTCCAATTTGTTTATTGACTTAATGGCCTTTGTCTCTTTCTTTAGAAATTTTCTTAGTGAGAAATGCAAGATGCTTCTGTCTGACAGGTCCAAGGAAACAGAGACTTAACTTTACACAGTAGCATGTCAAGATGCCCAAAGCCGGCAATAAATCTAAGACTTAATTTGG